AACTACCCCTGTTTTGATTTTCCAATTGACATGTCACATGAAACACGGCTATAGCACCCTCTCCTCTCAGTCACATCCCTGCCCCTCTCACAGCCCAAAAATAGTCAAGAAGCCAAAGACAAAGGGAGTTGGCAAAATCCAGTTGTCACAAAGGAGAGAGACAGATTTGCGTCTGTTCAATGCAATTAATTTATTCAGAAGGGGCCAATAAGAATAGGGCTAGAAAAATACTATAGAATGAGTGACTGGCCTGACTGAAGCTAATGAGATGTTGTGCTCCCAGCCTCTTGAGCTGCAAAAACCTTTTTAATTATAATAGTGTTGAAGGTAATTTCCTCTTTTTCCCCTTGCCAAATACATCCATTTTTAACCAGAATGAATGGTAACAAAGCTACTATTCTTTTTGTAGACTTTACAAATGTGTGGTTTTGGGGAGCTGGTCATGTGAGCCCCTAAAGCTGAGTAAGAAAAGAGGCAGGTAGTGGTGGTGCAGAAAGTGCCACTGTTGTGTCCAAACCAGCAGCGGTTCTACCAACACCAGTGCCAGGTATGACCTCATCATGGCAAGACTCGAGACGCCTTTGGAGTCTTTACCACAATGTACAGCGCCATAATTTTCTACTTACATTTGGCTTTCTCTCTCTGCCTCCATCTGCAACATATTATTAATTACAACCTTGAACATTAATACAAATTTAAGTTCATTGTCTTGGATAATAATCTGGGATGCATTATCCAAAATCATCCATCCAAATCTTGGCTCTTTATTCTTCTGACGATAACTACTTACAAAAAATACAAATGAAAAAATAAATAGTAATGAATGACAAAAAGACTCTATGTGAAAAGTGCTTTGTTTACTCTTTGACATAAGGGCCCCCTCTATATTTCATCTCTCACCGCAGCCTTTCTATACTTTAACAATGCCTGATTGTTTCTCCAAAAACTTCAGGTTCCATGAACAGGAGTTTTCTGGTTTACTATGTTCTTGCCAAATTCCAATCTCTGTTTTCCTTCTGGTGCTCACAAAGGGCTCATAACTTACTGTCAACTATGAGGCAAGTCACAAAGCTCCACTGTAGCTCAGCAAATAGACTTGTGTTAGCTGATGATTTGACTCGGGAGGTTCAGATAAATGAAGCAAAAGATAAATAAGAAGACAACTAACTTTCAGTGTGTGCTCCTGTAATATTCCTGTTACAGTGAGTTGGTTACTTGTAGATTTGTTTTCATTGAATATGACCTGCTTCTTGGGATGCAGTCTGCAAATATAGTTTATATTTCCTTTCTAACACACTCCTCTACATTTATCCTGGGTTGGAAATGTTTTTTTGTGTTGCTGGATAGATTACAAAAGAAAGATTTGGTTTGTGCGTATTTTCAGCAGTGTAATGTCCTAGTGTGAGCTTGAATGTGACATGTGAACACCTGCTTGAGCCCGGAGATCAGATGCAGTACAGAAGAGCAGAAGGAAAGGCGTCTGTGGGAGCCCCCTGAGCTGCAGCCTGGGACACTTCCACCTGGAGGCGCCGCACTGTGCTCTGCTTCAGACACTGTGAAGCAGCTGCACCACTGTTTAAAGTGACACACAAGGCACTTCCTCCACTAGCATATTATTGCAAATAATTTACCCACCAAAGTAATTATGACTGCTCTGCTCAGTATGTAAAGTGTACACTTCAGGTGGCTTGCTTAATTTGCTCTGGGCGGCTAGCTTTCGAGTGTGGGCTTTAGCTGCGGTAACTGTGGCACTTTCTAATAGAAAAGGCATCAGGAGAGGGTGTGAAGTGACGATGGAGTGCTTGTGTAATTGAGTTGACTTTTTGCAGGGGAAGGTCAACAATAATGGAGGAACAATTTAAACAAATTCATTTAGACAAGTCTCCTGTGACTGGGCTGTGGGCTGGCTAGTTGAAAAGTCTGTATTTTCACAACCGTTTATGATATTTTAGCATCATTATCTGCAATTATACTCTGTCAGCTGAGGGCTCCTTTTTCTCTTCACTAAGCATAATGGAAATTGATATGTAAAAAAGTTTTTCTTAGCGTTCATAAGCATTTGTGCATAGTGTATGCATCAGAGCAGAAAAAGTGCGCTGTGTGCTGCAGTTATTAAGAGTTGATTATGTATCCAGAAAGCTGGCTGCGTCACAGCGTGGCACAATCACAATAGAGGGTGATAATTTAATTGTGCTAAACGGTGGATTCGTGTCAGTGCTGCTCCAGCTGGGAGCTGTCAGGTCGTAATATCTCATTATGGCAGGTGAGGAACCCAGAGGAAGCCTGCCCTGGCACCTGTTAGAACAGGACCTACCCCGGAGGACTTTCTCACACGGCTGTGCATTACCTCCCCCACCACCTTTCACTTTCATTTAGACAGGTTCAAAATTACGCCTGTGCTCATTGTTTTATGACTAAGGAGTGGCACCAAACATCAAACACTTTTGACTAATTTCATAACTATTGTATGCATACATATAAATGATTGTTTATCGTGTAAAACTATTTAGCATCTGACCCTCATAAATATATTTAAATCCAGGTAATCCTAGAATCTGCTTTAAAGTATATGATTATTGGCTTGTTTTATGTTCTTGACTCCATAAATACTGAAACATTATGGGGGAGTGTGTTCGAAAGCTCCTGCAGCACTATTCTGATGAAAGAGAACAGGTGCCAGATCCTTTGAGAGCTTTTAATAGTGACAATTACTGCAGACACCCCTCAAGTTCAGTCACACACAAACTGCTCAGACAGACGGGGGACGTAAACACTGCATGAAGATTTTCACAAAGACGTAGTGAATTATTTTACATGAATTTGCGATGAAACTTATTATGCCATGACCAGTATAGATTTGATGATTGCAAACAGGGTGGGCTGGCAGGGGGTCTCCAGTGTGGGGTTACCCATCACCATTGTCTATAAAAGGTAAACAGCTTAACAGAGCAGATAGTGTGGGTGACAGGCAGTTGGACCCTTTTATGATGAAAGAGGAAACGGGATAGCTCAGGACACATGGCTGAGCGTCATAAGACCCCGAGATGAGCAGCACACAACACCCCTCTAATGCCCAGCCAATTAAACAGAGGTTGTTTTGCACCATGATGAAACATTATCGCCGGGAACAATTCATGACTCAAAGCATTCCTGGCCATATGAGTCCATGACTAGAGAACTTAGTCTTAAGCCTGTGTATGTCTGTAATATTGTGAGATATATTTAGCACAAGCCTCATTTTGATGTGAACTGCACGTCTAGTGAGTGTGTTTTGCCGAGAGCAGACAGGAAGGCAGTGATTCATGTCCTTATTGATTACCTTGGTTTGTTAGCTGTCTATTGTTATTGTGTAATCAAGCAAGAAGGAGGCATCACCTGGGATTTATAAGCTACTTTTCTCTGTCTGTCAGGAGTGCTTTCATTTATTCTAGGTTACTTCATGTTCCATTATTCAGATTTAAAGATTTAGAGGCATTTTTATTTTTGCTTGTCTCTCATCTGTTTTGTTGTCTCGTTCGTGTTAAACTATTTTATGCAAAATCATAGATCTCTGATTTGAACATAAAATGATTAGTAGAATATGGGTGCCACATTGGCCCTTTCCCTTTCACATGTCATGAATAGTTTGGTATGGGCCCGGTCAGAGGTGGGGGTGGGTGCACTCTTTAGCTGCCTGAGCGCAGCCCTCCGAGCGCTACTAATAAATTATTAACTCCTGCTGACAAATACTGTTATGGAGACTGCTGCAGATCTGTTGCATTCTTTAACAAGATTGCTGTAGACACATGTTACAAGAGGATCGGCCTCTCTCCTATTCTCTCACTCACGCCTCAGCAGTTTGACTGATGGCTGGAGACCATAGTAAAAGTGCCTAAGAGACTGAATATTTAAGTGGTAAAATAATACCACTTGACTTACGGTGTAATACAAAAGCAGTGCTTTGTTTCACTCACACACTCCATTGAGACCACTGTGCTTGCTGCACTTTGAGCTGAAACATTTTGGAGGCATTAATAAAAGAATTGAATCTATAGACTACAGACAGTTTAGAAGTGACCTCTTGGCTATGATCTTTTAAGGTTTATTTGTATTCAGGATTAGTTAATTGTTATTGAATACATGATATAACTTTTTGAAAAACACAAATACATGTACCAGCAACCTGTCGAGGTCTGTTTATACAGCTGTTGACACACGAGAGATGAACTTGGATCATTGTTCAGGTCCAGCTCACTGTGCAACATTGTGTGTTCATTCACACTATACTTTAAATTTGGTCTGAAAATTTTATTTTTGAGACAGTGAATCATAATGATTCTGAGAAGCCATTACAGACATGTTGTCTGAGGTATTTACTGGACTTATTTTCAAACTCTGATTCACTGAATACTGTAAAGAGTAGATGTATTTGTTGTTTGTCTGCATGAAATAAAAAGTAAAAACCACAACATGTCCTGAAGCTAAACCAAACAGGCCTCACTATTCTCTATGTTGGTTACTCTAAAGCTGAGTCCAAGTGTTAAAGTACAGCCCTGAAAAAGTGTACTATACAAGAATTTAAACCAACCAATGTTTTTCTCACAATAGGTATGGTTTCTTTAATACTAATAAACATACCAAAATAATAATTAGTTCTGTAACCACAAAACTTCTCATTTAATTCACTGCGGCCCAGTGCAAGAATGAGGCATCATTAATTGTGAAAAAAGTGATGTTCATAGTACATTCCTTACCAAAATAATTTCATTTGTGAAGTAAAAATTAAATTAAAAAAAATAACACCTGATATGTCAAGTACACCCTTCACTGTAATATTCATGATAGTCTGACTTGCAAATGTTGTCCTGGTGTCACTTTTAATTTTAAAGTGTTATTTGTTGGTCTATCAGACTCTTGCAATAACAGATAGTTATGCATTTAAACATTTATTAAAACAACTGAAATGTGAATAAACATTTATATAGCAATTGTATTAATCTGTACTGCTTGTTTCTTTGCAGCCGAGTCATGTCTTCCAAAGCAGCCACGTCTCCCTTTGCTTCGGTGGTGGATGGAGAAGACCCCATGAACCAGGAGCACTTGTCCTGGGAGAAAGACGATAGTGCTGAGGCCCACTGCACTCCACAGCTGCCCCTGCACAATCTCCTCCATGGAAAAGGCCACCCTGAAGAGGTACAGCCTCTCAGCAGTGTGCCACCAGAGAGCGACTGGGACAGCCTGCTGTCTGCACAGCAACGGATGGTAGGAACATCTCTATTCTTCACATGTATTTGATTGATTATAATAGTACATGTGTTAACATTTACATTACTGTTTGTATATTGATCTCAAATAGCAATATATACCCCGGTAACAATAATTAAGAAAAAAATACCACACACATTTGTTAAACCAGTTTAAAAGCAGACAAAGTACAAAATAGGAAACGATAGTCTGTAATGATTTGTCCTGTGGGTGTTCCAGGCCCCCTCAGCAGGGGCTCATTGTTACTTCCTTGTCCAAAAATGAGTTTATCACAGGCTCCAGCTCCACAGTCCCTTAATGCTGTGAAACCTCAGGGATTCGGGGGTCTGCCCATTTGTGGCTCTGCCAAAACTAAACCATTAGCTATTATTAGGTTAAACTGGGGACCTCTCACTGTTTCCCAAATGTTTAAATCCCTTTTCTCTGTTTTGAGTAAAGCCTTGTTGCTTCTGAAATGTCATGGTCAAAAGACATGTTTTGTTTTCTTCTGTTGGCATATATAGACACGTTGTACGTGGAAAGTGAGGGCTTCTTTGATATAAGCCTATATTCAGGAAGAGCTTAGGCACTTGTGTGCTGTAGACAGAGGAGGCAGGTGGTTGTCTGTGACAGACGGCTCTATGGAAAAGAGACCCAGAGGGCCTCTGAAGTAGCGCTGCAGTTGGCTCCTGCGATCCTCTGCATCTGAACATAGCAGCACAATCACACACATCCACATCATTAGGTCCAGAACAAAGGGCTCTCCTGAGGTCGGGTTAGAAGGCTTGTGTGCACAGGCGTTCTCACTTAAAGACTGGTTTTCTGTAGTTGAACAGTTTTATAGTATGCAACCATTCCTTTAAAATATTTTACATTCTACATACATTATGTTTTATTAATCTATAATAAAGGGTTGAAAGATAGAATTGTCTGACAGATGAGTGAGTGGATACAGACTCTAGGCAGACCTGACATGTCTACCGGCTGTGTGTCTGTGTGGGCTGTGTCCTGACCCAGAGCCAGCTGATTAACCCGCTGTCGCTGCACCCCTCGAGCACCCTCCACTTTGTCTGCCACGCACCCTAATCAGTAACCCTGGCGCCGAGGCCGGGGCAGTGGGCCGTTCTGCTCTGCCACTCTGGCACATGAGCCAGATCACCATACACCTCTTATGCTCAATATGCCACGACAGGCTGCAAAACCTGCACTGACAATGTTTGCCCATTTACGGGATCCTTACATTCCTTTAGGACATTATCTGTGTCTCCTTATGGAAAAATGCATTTGTTGATTGTACAGACACATTTTTATCATTTTTTCTTCCTTTTTGTATGTCCTGTTTATTCGCTTTGGTCTGGTGCTGATGTAGTGAAATGTAATGAATGTGCTCTTGTGTGTGAGGTATCCTTCAAACTCTCCACCTTTCTTGTCCTCTTTCCCCTCATATCTTTGTTTGTGCACAGAGAGCACTTAGCCAGTCAGCCAGAGACAGGGCCTTTAGTTAAATACTAAACCATACACAGGTGGGACTGAAAAACAACAACAGCCCGAGACAGGACACAGATTTATGATGGCTCAAGGCACTCAGCTGAGAATAGCTCTCTAGTAGAAAATGAACAAATTACACAGCAGTCACCGTAACACAAATGCACACTCAAAAGCAATTTGAGAAATTACAGTTGGGAGGTTTCTCTGTGTGATCTCGGCACATGAAAAGTAAAGCCAGAGCACATTATGGATATGCCCTATGAAAATGTACCTCATCATTTCATCTCCATTTTTCACGTGTCATATCTCATTTACCAGTGCAGCTAGTTCTGCTGAAGATACTGTTTGAAAGCCGCAGAGAAGTCAAATCACTCTGAGCTGCAAAAACCTAGCAATCACCGTGTTTCAATAGCGGACTGTCAAAAAGCTCAATGGGGCTTTGATGGAGCGCGGGAACGCACTTATCATTTAATAAAACCCTCAGCCCTTGTTGCCATCACCTCTTCTCCCAACATTTGTTTGTCTTTACAGGAATCTGACAGCAATAAAGTATGTTCCCTGTACTCCTTCCGGAACAATTCCACTTCCCCGCACAAGCCGGAGGAGGGGGCCCGGGAGCGAGGCGACCTGCTGAGTGGATCGGCCTTTGGCACTCCGGAGCGACGCAAAGGAAGCCTGGCCGACGTCGTGGATACGCTGAAGCAGAAGAAACTGGAGGAGATGACAAAGACAGAGCAAGACGGTATGCCTCTGCTCAAGCTCAGTGTGTGTGTGTGTGTGTGTGTGTGTGTGTGTGTGTGTGTGTGTGTGTGTTTGCTACAGGTTCGTCATTAGATAGCATATACATCTCTGGAAAAATAAAGGATACCTGCAATATAATAGGAGAATCGAGTGTCTTTTTGACAATATAAACAAAAACCTTGTCTTTTATATCCTGCAGACAATTACTGCATTCCCTTGGTTTACATATAACACTATAGCACTTAAACGCATGAAGTTGACAGAAATTACTATCAATAAATATGAAATAATTATAATATACAAATTGGTTACAAGGTTTTCTCAAGACTATCAAATTTTGTTTTTGCTCAATTACTCATTTTCTTTTTCACTCACAACTTTTATTTTGGAATAGTTGAAGGGATACTCTAACTTTTGCTTTATTTGGGAATAAATTGCAGTGATCGCTTATATTTTCCAGAGCCATGTAATAATTCCTATTTTCTTAAGTTTCATAGTGCCTCTTGTGGCAGGTCTGTTGTTTTTTTGTGCAACTGACAAAAGCACGCATTGGGATTTCTGACGTGTTTCCAGTGTTTGTTTTGACCCTTTTCCAGTGTGACAAATCCTATGGAGCAGAGTACAGCAGCAGAAATGTGGTCTGCCATCATGCCAAGGCAAACTCTACCACTGTAAAAATTATAAAAGTTAATGCCAGGAAAATTGCCCCTTTATGATTCCACTGAATACTTATCGCATCGAAGCTACCTAAAGTCAGAAAACTATCAAATATATTTTCCCCCCAATTCTTCACATGGACATTGATGTTTTTATATATTGCCATATTCATATTTTCCCCTGGTTGACTCTTCCTCCCACAGCCTGCAGTTTATCAAGAGTATGGCAGAAAAACAAATATTTGAAAGCGCTGCTGAAACACATCTCCCTTCTTAATTAGGGCTGTAGTAATATAACTACATCCAATCAAATGTTAAAGCCTCTTGGGAATGCATGTGTCTCATTTAGTGTCTGGGGAGCTCTTTGCTTAAGCACTTCATCAGATGAATAAATTAGACCACTGTTAGCCTAAAATAATTTCCCTCTTCTTTTCTAAGTGTTCGTTGGCTGATCTTTGTATCAGTCTCTAACCAAGTATTTAACCAGACACTAAGATCATTAAGGTGTACCATGGGTATTTGCCCAAAGTCAGATGTTTTCAGTATGTAATGTGAGTACTTTAAAAATGACCAAAACAAAAATATTTTTTGGTGTTTTTACATTTATTTTTTGAATTTTGCAAGTCCATTTGCTATTACTTCTTGTTTACAAGATTATAAAATTTCTCAATGTTGAAATAACTTCAGATAATTGTTTATGCTTGTTTGATGCTTTTTATTACAGCTGCATGTTCTACAGTGTATTGTTTCTATATTGTTTCATAACAAGCAAATTATATTATTAGTGAAGCAGGCTGTTTAGATAAAGTTGGTGTTCAAACTTTTATAAAGCGCATTATAGCGTGGTTACATTGCTTTCTTTCGTCTCCACGTTTCTCCACATTCTTGCGGTGTGTTTCTGATGGGCTGAATTTTCAGACAGAATTGTCAGGGCTCTGTGATGGCGGCTGTTATGGTAATGAGCCCCAGCTGCTGAAGGCTGGTTGTTGCAGTAATTTAAATGGTCAAGTGCAGCTTGTAATCCAGGGCCGTATGCTAGCACAGTGAGGAGAGGTGCTTTAGAGTGCCATACAGCTGTTTTAATCTCCTGTTAATAATAGAGCCTGGGTCTGTCTCATGTACACCGCATCATCACCACCAAAATAAACTCCCTTGTTGGAGGAAATTAGTTTCTGAGCAGGGAGCACGACAGAAGACAAGAGGCTCACAAAGTTCAGCAGGCTGTCCCCAAAGCCTCAAACTGAGAGATGCTCTCTGTACGAGGGCACTTTAGGAAGTCTCTGGGGTGATGATCAGTGATCGCTCTAAAAAGAATTGGCACAGGCTAAAAAGTTAAAGGAGGCCCCCAAAACCTCTGGGAAGTTACAATAGTGTGTGATTGTTTGTATAATCGCTGTGCTTGGAAAATGAAAAGAACAGGATTAACTTATTAAAGATCATAGAAGAAGGAAGAGGAGCCATTTGTTGTCTTAATGATGTTGCTAATGTAGCACAAGCAACAGATGAGCTAAATATATCGCTTATCTAAGCATGACAACTGTTGTGTCTAATTCTGCTGCCTAGTCGGGATCACTTAGGTCCTCAGAGACTCCTCACCATCTGCTGCCTTTCTTTTCTGGGTTTTCTTGTCTGGTCAAGAAAGTTCATTGTCCCCACTAACTCAGAATAAAAGTGCTGACCTAAAGAGAGTGGGAACAAATGGTTCATGTTATACTTTCACGCAATACATCACTCTTATATGGTGCGTGGGTGTCCACTTAGGTAAAACAAACCTGGGTGCAGTTGTGGAATATAGTCTAATATAATTTCTCTTTTTCATTATAGGTGGCACAGCTACAGTCTAATAGTGAATAAAAGGTGGTGATAATACATTTATGATTTATTAAGTGGATATGCCCCAATTACCCTAATGATCACATTGCATTATACATGTTAACAATAGCTCGACATTAATTTAATTCTGTATTGTTCAACTATTCATTATTATCCTTTACTCAGTGCTTTCCTTCTACCTCCCTGGTCCTTTCTGGTCCTTAAAGTGCTTGAAGCGCTTGTGACTGTGCTAATGAATGAAAATGTCCTCCCAGCAGTGAGCAAACGCATTTAGCTGAATAGTCACCTTTGCTGTAAAAGCTCTATTAGACCCAGTTGCCAACAGGGGTAACGATTGTGCCCCATGTTTATTTACTAGGTATTGTAAATGTATTATTTATGGATAAGTCTCCCGACAGTCGTTGTCAAGAGTTAAAAATGTCAGTATGAAGTATTAGAGGTAAAAAAAATATACCCACCATTATAAAAACTCAAGGTGACCTTGATTTAAATCACATGCAATTAGAACAATTTTATATAATGCACTCAAGTAGTAATCAATACCATGCAAGTGGACAGCAGTGGTATGTGTTTAGTCTTTATGGTTGTCCCCAAAACAAGGACGAGGCTTGGCTGCATTCTCTATGGCTATTGTAAAAAATCTTTGTAAAAATATATGCAGTTATATGATTAAAAAAAGGTTAAAGAAACAGGAGGAGTGAAGTAAAATTAATCCACAGCAGCCCTCTCCAGAGCTGGACCAGAAGCACTTGGCTCACATGTATTTACTGTTGCCTGTGGCTTTATTACCTCTATCTATTTGTGAGTGTAATCCGCTGCTGGAGGTGTGCATTATCACTGTGTAATGACTGAGTGCTGGGTTGAGTATGGAGCACTGATCAGCATTGTGTTTGTAGCCCTGGGTCATTATCCTCCATTACAACGGGCCGTGTAATGAGATTCAGGGCCAGCCGAGGGCTTTGGGAGGGGAAAAGATCAGCTCTAAGCCTGTGCTCTGACTGGCTCTGCTGAACTCTTGACTCTGTGTCACTGCTCCTGCTGACTCCACACAGAGCATCACACACACACGGCAGGGGATCCACTCCGACAAAAGAACATTTCACATTTGTGTCCAAATACTTGATACAGGATCAGGGACATGTCTATTATGTACATAATTACTGTTTTATACAAAAAGAAAATAATCTTAAATCTCTCGTCTTTATCCTTTACCCTCTGTTTTTTCCTGGTTCACTTCTTCTCTTTCATCACAGTTGACGTGTCATCTGGCTCAACCGTTCCCCACCTAATTAACAGGATTCTTTGTTCCAGTGATCATGGCATTTGCCTCTAATTCAACTCAGGCCTGTAAATGTAAATAATTTTCCTGTCTGATATCTCTATTCTCATAGATGGTAGTGAAGAGAGGACCACACACACTTGCATTCTTTTAATGACCAACACATATATTCGTATTGCAGATGAGATGTGTATGTGTTATTGCACACACATGTTTATATAGCGCTCTGGCTCCACTGGGGGTCCTCTGCTGTTTGAATGTGCAGACTCTTGGCCTATGGTGCTCCGGCCCAGCAGAGCAGCGCGCTGGTCTGTCACTTTTGTGTGAATAGGTAATGTAGAGCTGTTCAGGCTGAGCAGACATGAGCTGGAAACGCTTGTTAGGACACATGATCAAAAGACCCTCTTTGCTCTTTGCCAATCAACCCTCTTGTCACACCATGAAGCAGACATTAAGATTTTGGGCTGTATACAGTAGGCAGCCTGCCAGCCCACATGTGAACTTCCACAAAAGATGGACAGACCTTTACATTTGTTTCTTTGAGAGTTTTCTGACCTTTTCTGTTACTCTGTCCTCTTCTGTTGTTCATGTATGTGATAACATAAACATTTTCTCTTGGCCTGTTGCTTCCTTCAGCAATGCTGCTCCTGTGCCAGCATGGGCTCACAGGCCAAACCTGAGTGGGTGTGTGTTTTAAATGGTGTGTGAGGGCCCAGTCCTCTGCTTAATTATGTATTTACTATTCGATTCCAAATAGATCCTCAAATAAGTCAGGCACATCTCCAGAGAAGTGGCAGTACAGGTTTTCTGTTACGCTATCTGAGATATAGATTTTGTTGCCCTCATTCTGCTGTCTTCGTCATTCAGATGACAAAACAAACAGCTGCTTCTTCAATGTGCCATTCTTTGCATTCAAGATCACCTTCCCCACTTCTCATATTCCGATTAGTCAACAGTAGCAACTGCTGTGGAGCATTCCAGGGGCCATCTTCCTGGGTTTCAGCTGTTGAGCTGGTCCCCCTGCACCCATGCAGCACAAAACTCCCATTGTGATCCTGACTTAGTGGCTGCACAGGAACCCCTTGATAGGAGGAAACGGGTGTCTCTGGGAGACAAATCACAGCCAGGGCTGCACAGAGCCTTGTTTGTCCTCACACTTGCTCACCCAAACACACACACGCACACACACACACACACACACACACACACAATGGCCATAGGTAAATATCTGCT